GTGGACACGAGAGGGTTTGACATTCCTGCTGAAAAGGGGCCTGTCAAGCTCCATTCCCCTCCCCCATTCTGTCTCTACCAAAGTCAGAGGCTCACAGATCCTTAGAAGATCCTTTTTTGATAACTGACTTTAATGATGAGGAATGACGCCAGGGGCGCCTTCGGGGCAGGGGGAGGTTGCTGATAGATCTGAGAACCCCAGCAGATCTCGGTCCACATCACAGCTCTGCCATTTAATCTTGCGGGCCACCCAGTCTCTGTGACTCTGAGTAAAGAAATGTGTGAGGCACTGGCATGGTGCCAGCTAATTAAGCAAAAACAAACCAAACCCCCAACATGGAGTCCATTCTGAACTACAGTATAGCGACCCTATATAAACCAAATTCCCCGCCCTCACATCGATTTCCACTATAGAGGCTATAAACATGAAGGCAGACAGCCTCATCTTTCTCTCCAGGGGCCACTGGTGGGTTTGAACTGTCAACCCGGTGGCTAGCAGCCCAACACTTACCCAACGGTGCCACCAGGAATCCCCAATATATAATGTTTAATAAAATGCTGCATGCATTATTCCTAGGAGTACCCACAGAACCAGTACTGGGGAAAGGAGGTCAAAGGAGTGGATATGTATGGGAGTCGAGTTGATATAAAGGATCAGTGAAAGATTTGGGCCCATTCTCTCTGGCCCCACCCCCCCAGCTCTAGAGCTAGGATGTTAGGTGTCACGGAGTCGGTTCTGACCCAGAGCGAGTCTGTGTACACCAGAACAAAACACTGGCCAGTTCTGGCACCATCGTCACAGCTGTCTTTCTGCTTAGCCCATTGTTGCAGCCACTGTGTCGATCTGTTTGACTGCCCCTCCACTTTACCAAGCATGATGGCCTTCTCAGGAAAACAGCTGACGTTGGCACCTGATCCCACAGCCTGGTCCATCCTAAACATGAGGACTCTTGCTTTGCAAATAACTACAATTTTGAGAATCTGGATGAGGGAAATGAAGTAGAAGGGCAAGGTGGGTGTGCATGGCAACCTGGTTTCGCAGAGTCAAAGTCGGACCTGTATGTGCCTGTGTTTTGAGGAAGCCAGGGCAGAGCAAGTCTTACAACTGACCCTGGAGAGACAAAGAAGGCACCGGCTTTCTCTTCTCTTTGCTTCTGCAGTCCTTGTTAGTGCCCATTTCCTCCCTGGCATCCCCTCCCTCGAACTGGTCACTCCCCAGTATTTCTAACCATCACACTCTGCACAGGCCTCAGAAATCATCTTGCCACACTCCACCACAAATAGGAAATTCCAGGCCCAGAGATCCAGTGGAGGGGCCAGGGGTTCTCTACCCCATCCCCAACTTCCCAAAAGGCTCACCTTCCACGGTTGTCCTTGTAGAAGTCCAAAGAAAACCCGAAGTGGCTGCCATTGGGGCCTGTGTAGGTGAGTTGTACCGGGTCCAAGTTCAAGGCCCAGCTTAGAAGGGGACCACAGGGTCCTAAAAGCAGGAGCCACCCCAGGAGCCAGAGAGAATGCAGTGGACATGAAGCTCGGGCCATCTTCCACAACCTCCTAAGGTAGGAATGGGCTAGCTCTC